CGTGGGCACCAAGTCGATGCCCAAACTCCCCATTTTTGACCCAAACGTTGGGCAGATGCCCAGAACTTTGAGTTCTTTTTGGTTTTTTCCCCCCAAATAGTTTTCATCCTTTCTTTCTTTCTTCCTTTCTTTCTCTTTCTTTCTTCCACTCAGTGTCACAATAACCTTGTCATGAAGCACCGCGACATTCCACCCCGTAGATGTAAGGACGTCACGTCTTCTGTTCTTTTGTTTCATGCACTGACGGTTCAAAAGGTTGAAAACAAAACGGAAAAAAAAAAAAAAATTCTCCCTGCTGCTCTTTTTTTCTCTCTCTTTAGCTGAACAAAAAAACGACAAAAAAACAGGCAGTTATCCTCCGCTTTCTAAGAAAAAATTGATCCCCTGCAGTAGTGAATGTGGCACCGAGCCTGTCTGTATATCTGGTATCTGAAATCATTTTGTTTTTACTGACCAGTATTCTGCTTAAAATAAAAAAAGGAATAAAAAAATAATAAACCGACCCAAAAAATATGGACAAAAAAAAAAAGTTTGCTTCTGTGACGATTTTATTGCTTAACGCGCACGTGGTTGTGAAACTCTAGAGTTAGCTTAAGGACACCGATAAAAAAAATTAAGAAAATGGTTTAATAAAAAAAAACACCCTTTCAGTACCCCCCCATCCCCCCACCCACATGGTTATTGACGTAATACTAGATTTGTGTATGTCTTTTAAAAAAACAAAAAAAACAACCCACCTCTAGTTTCACCTTACATGTTAAACAGGACAAAATGTAAAAGACAATTTAAAGTGAAATAAAGGTTTTATCAGTTCCGAATCAGCCCTGCTCTGTTTCTTATCTCCTGCGCATGCTCTCCGCCTGCACGTGGCGCCCCGCGAGGAGTTCAAAGCACCGGGAAAAAACTCCGGAAAACTGGGCACTCTGGCAGTTTGGGACCGACGTGCGAAATGAAAAAAACTAAGATAACAGAATATGTTATCTGCCGTCGGATGGCTTTTTATTCAAATCGAGAAAATGCTAATTTCTTGGCTGAGTTCTTTAGAAAAGCAGCAGTAAGAACCGGAAGTGGTTCCTCGGGACCAAACGTTAACATTTTAAACCTCGAAAAGAAGGAATTTCGAACAGTTTAGGCCTCCAATATATCGGCTTGATAAGAGGAAATGGCTAACTAAATTTAAAAAAAATTCTTATAACCGAGTTCAGTTTAATTGCAGCTGGTTGAGGAAGCACGAGCTCGTCCCTGTCGTGAACAGTCAGACGGATTCAGGGTGGAGTTGAAAGGCGTTTCCTGGTCAGACGGGACTCGCCCGGAGCTCCGGGCTCCGGTTCAGCTCAAAACGCCAATAATTTATCCACAGACCGGTCGTTTTCTCCCCAAAAACGTCTGCGTTTCACCGTCAAACGTCCCCATCAGCGCGCGAGTCCTCGTTTAAAAAAAAGGTGTTTAATCAGCCTGCCAGGGGCTCTAATTTAACACATTAAAGTTTGTGTAAAGAGAGGATTTTAGGAAAATAATTAATCTTAACATGTAAAATACAAATTTGAAAATAGGTTCAGTCATGTGGCCTTAATATTGATCAAACTGGTCACTGAAATGTGGATTCAAGAAGTCCAGGAAAACTCAAAATGTGGATCAGATCCACAGCTTTCATGTGTGTTCAAACCTGCCCAGATTTAAAAAAAGAAACACCCAGCAGAGGAAGTCAAGTTGCCTTTATTACTTTGAGGATTTCTACAACCTGGATGACTCAGAATCTCCACCAACACCCCATCTGAAGCTGGCAAAAGCCCAATAAAATGGCAAAATGAACCTTTTCTTTCTCAAGTTTTCACAAAATTAAGTTACTTTAGCACAAACTATGCTTTTGTACTGTTTATTGTCATATACATGATTAATTTGAGTAGATTTATAGTCATTTAACCTTCTTCATGGAGCAATTTGTGCACTTATTTCAGACTGACGCTTCACATCTGCTCATTTCTGCTGTTTTCCCACCCAAAAAAAGAGGCTTTTAACTCTTAAAACATTAAACCTGCCGCCTATGAGCTGGTTCCCACACCCAGACCCGGAAACGGAGCAGAAAATGGGCTTTTAATGGGCCTGGGCCCGCGTGAGGCCGGTTTTGGGGGTACCACCCCCAGCCTGGGGGCTCCGCCGCCGGGACACGCCCGGGCTTTGCTGCCTGAAAGCCGCCGGGGAATGAACCCGTTTCCCGGCATGCACGGAGGCTGACTCACCGCCTGGCCGTGCGTGTCACAGATTAAGGTGCGGCGCGTGGAGAGGCTGTCGAAACCGGGTTTGGATTCAGATGTCAGGAATTTTCGGTGGAGTTTTTTTTTTTTTTTTTCTTAAGTCTGAGACGACTCCTGGCTCCTATTCTGCTGCTTTTCGGCGTCCTTTTTCCTTTTTATCCTCGTTTTAACGGGGAAAAATGTGCTCCGGACGCGTCTCTTGCCCACAAACTTCCTGGAGGCTTTGCTGGTTGCCTGGCAACCGCTGGGTTCCACTACAGTCAAAACTAGGAGTTTGAGTTTTTGAGCAAAATGGGCCTCGCGGGGCTCCGTCCGGTCGTGGCTCGGTGCCTCGCGCCAAGAGAAGAGGGCGTGGCCGTCACAGGTGCTGCCCTGTTAGCTTTGATTAGCATTTTAATAGCATTTCACAGGCCGCAGGGAACGCCCTAAAATAACAGACTTCTGTCCACTTTACCGTCTTTAGGAGCTCCAAAATATTCACTACCTCAAAATATACCCTTCATTTTGAAGTCAGCACCTTTTTTCTTTGGTATCGACGAGCTTCTGCAGCGTCCACCCAAAATAATCTTTACCTTCCTGGCAAACTGAAGCCTTTTCTTCCCAATTAAGTCCCCCCTACCTTCTGATAAAGGCCCATTTAACAAACCCACAAGGGGACCTCCAACATTTGGGCCTATCTAAACCAGGTGGGGGCTTAATTTTGGGATAGTCGGTGTACAATACACATCTCTTATTTACTGCTCTGACCAAAACACTCGTGGTTGAGAGACGTGTTTAAGAAAATAAACAGTCTGGCTTTTTCTCCTGGAGATGGTAAACAGTCCAGACGGCGTACTCTGCCAGCAGCTAACAGACTTCAGGTGGAAAACCAGCTATATATTTAAGGAACTTTTAGATTGAATCAAATTAATTATACTTTATCACCGGGGGAAAAAAGAGGTTTTCCATAATTTCTCTTTTTTTGGGGCTAAAACTCCTTCAAACCGAGTTGCCTGTGGCTGACTTGACGGCTCAGACTGGTCCCAGTCCGGCCGGGGGGGTCTTGGACCAGCTGCCCCCCCCCCTGTGAAAGCGTGAAAGCCCCCCTGAAAAAGGTGGAGGCACTTCGGGCAGGACGGAGGACACCGGACGTCAGGAGGAGATCACAGGTAAAACAAAAAAAGAAGGTTTCAAACAAAAGGACACAAACTGATCCCAGAGGAGCAAAGAGCTAAAGCTCCACTAACACGCTGACCACCATTTAGAGTGAACGCAAAACAGGATGTAGAGACAAAAAGCAAAACCTCACGCCTGGTCTGAGAAGATAAATAGTTAAACTGAGTGCAGGAGGAGTGAAAATGGCTGCTAACCGAGGCCAAACACAGAACAAACCCTTATGACCACCACTGATGGCCTTTCCTCTGGAATAAACGACACATTTCGGACCACAAAGGGTGAGATTTTGGGGGCTGGATGAAGGGCTCAGACCTCCTGAAACTGCTCTGAAGTGTTTCAGGGCCGTAAAAAGCACAGAAACAGAGAGAAGCTGTTTCAGCCACGCACCTCCCGTTAAACCCCAGAGGGGTTCTTCCGGGTTCCAGGTAAACCTGACGGCTAAATGAGGAACCAGGCCACCCGGTTGGCTGAACAGAGGCCTGACATCACAACCGCCACCACCAGGTGTCAGTAAGTGACCGGCCGCCCCTCTGGGGTCTTTTCTGACCATCTTTGCTGACTTACTGAGCCCAGAATAAATAAAAGGCTCAGGAAAAAGGGGGGCGGGGCTTCACTGGTGGTGATAAAGTTTTGTTCTGTGCTCTCAGAAATGAATGACTTTAAATACTGCATAAACAGACGGACGATTCCAGGGCTGAATCGAGTTTCCGGGAGCGTCTGGAGAGCGGCGGCGGCGTGCTGGGCCTCGCCGCCGTTCGGCCAATCGGGCGCCGCCGTGTCACCTGACCTCTCTGGCGCTCACTTCTGGACCTCCTGCAGAAGCTTCAGGGCGGCCGTGTTATTCGGCTCCACCTTCAGGAGCCGGTTCAGGTCGTCCACACAGGTTTTCAGGTCCTGCAGGAAGTTAAAAGCTCAACGTGTTAATCTTTATCGAATTCACCAAAGATTTGGGCTTTTTTTTGGGGTACTTTTGCTCCTTTGAAGGTTCAGGATGTCACACCACCATAAAAAAAAAAACTAAAACAAAGCCATATAAAGACATAAAAGACGCCGCCTAAAGACCACAAACAGGAAGTTACCACAGAATGATATGGCCTGGGCTGGGGGAAACTATATTAGCAACCAGGGCAGCTTCAGGCCTAAGAATGGGCCTAAAAATAAATCTATATGCCCTGAAAAATGAGTCAGAGGCAAAAAGTTGAACCTCCTGTGACCTGTGGAACACTGGAGGACGTCTCTCTGCCATCTGGTGGTGGAACAAGAGAATAACACCGTACAGCGTCACCTCAAGATGGAGGAGAACACGCCAGAAAGGTGTTGTGTTCAAAGAAGATATTTAGTTACAGCAGAACCTCTACTTATGATCACTTAAACATACGAATTTTCCAACATACAAAGTGGAATTTGATCAAACAATCGACTTGACACCCGAAGTAAATTTCCAACATACGACGCAAGACATCGAAGTCATAGAAAAAATAAATAAATAAATAAAATATATATATATATAAATTAGAGAAAAATAAATAAGCTAAGTTAGTTTAAAGTTCAGGTAAGGAAAGTTAGAGTAAGTCCATCCTGTATCTCAGTCTCCACCTCTACCTCCAACCTCAGTCTCTGAGGTAGAGTGCCAATAAAAAACCCTTTTTATTGATTATTTCTTTATAATTTATTTATTTTTACATGTCTCTTATATAGCGTTTTATCGCCATGTGTAATTATCTGCAGTATTAAGGAGTTATCGTAGGTTTTTGGGCTGTGGAACGAATTATAATTTGAATGTATTCTGACGGGAATATTTGAACCAACATACGAATATTCTAACATGGGAAGTAGGTCCTGGACCCAATTAAATCCGTAAGTAGAGGTTCTGCTGTATTACGTTTCTGGTTCCTCCTAACCCTGAAGAGTGGGAGGAACTCTGAAAATGGAAGCGGGGCGATCTCAGCTTAGAAAGGCGAAGCGGCCAGACGTTTCTGAGGACTGAACATGTGCTCGGCCTCCGTCTGCCCGGTAGTGAGGAGCCTCCGGCTGCTCACCTTTAGATCCCTGTGGGCCTGCGCCCTCCGGTAGAGCGCCTTGATGTTGGCGGCGTCCAGCCTCAGGGCCTGGTCACAGTCTCTGACCGCCTCTCTGGGCTGCTTCACCGACAGGAAGCACAGCGCCCTGATCCCAAACACACCAATCAGCCCATCAGCCACAAACACAGCAGCCATGACAACGCTGAACATTTACATTTTTTTTTAAATTATTTACTGTCTTTATTTTTCCACTTCTATGTGTTACTGTGTTGGCCGCCTCCCCCTGTGCCCTCTCTTTCTCTCTCCCGCTCTCTCTCTCTAACATTTAAAATAGTGTCTGATTTAGCTGTTTACAACATTTAAAATAGTGTCTGCTTTAGCTGTTTATAACATCTAAAATAGTGTCTAATTTAGCCGTTTAAAACATTTAAAATAGTGTCTGATTTAGCCGTTTATAACATTTAAAATAGTGTCTGCTTTAGCCGTTTATAACATTTAAAATAGTGTCTGCTTTAGCTGTTTATAACATTTAAAATAGTGTCTGATTTAGTCGTTTACAACATTTAAAATAGTTTCTGCTTTAGCTGTTTATAACATCTAAAATAGTGTCTAATTTAGCCATTTATAACATTTAAAATAGTGTCTGATTCAGCTCTTTATAACATTTAAAATAGTGTCTAATTTAGCCGTTTATAAAATTTAAAATAGTGTCTGCTTTAGCTGTTTATAACATTTAAAATAGTGTCTGCTTTAGCTGTTTATAACATTTTAAAATAGTGTCTGCTTTAGCTTTAGCTAACATCTGTTTCATCAGATTCAAATGACTCCCTAAAGTGACTCTGAGCTCCACCAGTCTGAGGAGGTTACTCTAAGAACCACACTGTGCTGTGAGTGAGTGCAGCTCTAACAGAGAGACGCTGAGCGGAGCCTCACCGGTTGGTGTAGGTGGTCACCTCGGAGGGGTTGAGTTTGAGGCTCTGGCTGTACTTCTCTATGGCCCTCTTGTGCTCTCCTTTCTTCACCAGAGCGTTGCCCTCCTCCTTCAGAGCCTGGGCCTTCTTCATGTCTTTATCGCTGGGAGCTGCTGAGAAGGATGGAGGGAAACGGGCCAAACTCAAAAACTTAAACCCACAATTTTGCTTTCCCTTCTTCTTTCAATTCAATTCAATTTTATTTATATAGCGCCACATCACAACAACAGTTGTCTCACAGCGCTTTCCAAACAGAGCAGGTCAGACCCTACTCTGAAGTTAACTACAGAAACCCAACAATTCCCAATTTGGGGAAATCGACTTTAATTATCAGCACAGAAGAAGAAGAGACGTTTTGTTATATGGGAACTTTTCACAGCTGTTAGCCAGATCATGATCACATCAGAAAAAGTAGAGATTCATGTTATGAGGGCAGAGATCTGATGTTTTCCTGATGTGTTAGCGGAAAGATTTCAGTGTGCGTACCGGCTTTGTTGGTCTGCCTGACGCCGTTCTGCTGGGGGGGGGCTGCGTTCGGCTGGGCGGGGGCAGCTGCATTCTGGGAGAGCTTCTCCCTCACAGACAGAGGCACGGTGGGGATGGGGGGAAGCTTTTCTCTCCACGAGGGGCCGTCCGCCTCCGCCAGGGCCTTCGTCATCCTGGGGAAGTTCAATGAGACCAATGAGCAGGAGAGAAAACCTCTGGACTTTTCTTTTCTTTCCCTGGACTCGGGGGCTTGGCGGACCTGTTGGTGCCGTCGTGAGCGGCCGCTATGTTGCAGTCGATCTGCAGAGCGGTTTTGTAGTCGACGTAGGCCTGCCGGTAGCGCTCCAGAGCCTCCAGCGCAGCGGCGCGGCGGAGCAGAGACTTCACATTGAAGGGGAACAGCTCCAGAGACCTGGCGGGGATCGAGAGACGGGGTTCGTCAACGGGGATCGGCCGAGGCAGAACACACAGATTTTTGCGCAAAAAAAGCCAAAAATTAAAAGCTGTAAACTCGACAGATCGGATAAAAAACACGTACTTGTCGCAGTCCTTCACACACTCTGAGCAGTTGCCATCTTTCAGGTAGCTGGCTGCACGGTTCGAGTACAAAATCCCCAAATCTTCAGGGTTCTTTTTACCTTAATGGGGAAAAAAAAATAAAAAAATAATGTATTTATATGGATGAGAGCATCAAAGTTTAAGTGAAGATGATCAGACTAAAAGGAGGAATGTCTCTGTGGGGACAGCTGCTCCTGGGGATATTTTTGAAGGCTACTCACCGGACTTCTCCAGCTCTCTGATGGCCTGGCTGTAGAAGTTGGTGGCCTCCCCGTACTGGCCCGTCCTGAAGCGCTCATTCCCGGTTTGTTTCAGCTCCGTCCAGGACTTGGCTTTCTGTTTCTGAGGCATGGCTGTGTTCTTAACTGGGAAGGATGGAGGCAACCTGTGAGGAGAGACGGACTCAGGCTTTTAGCAGCAGCTCAACCAGCTTTTGAGGTCCCCGAATTTGAGCCGATACATCTTAAAAAGTCTGGTTTTACGAGGGAGTGTCTGCATATTGACTTTCTTTCCAATCTTTGTCAAAGATTTAGCTTCAACTTGAGTGGTTTTGAATAAGATATAATTCACGTTTATTCACTCAAAATGAGGTCTTGAATGTTTTTATTTTTGTCTCCTGTGGTGCAAATCCACCCCACAGCCATGCAGACCCACATTAAATATAACAGTAAAACATAAAATACATATTTAGATTCAATTCAGTCCTCACAAACTAACGAGCTCCTAGCTATCATATATCCATCACACTGATGGGAACTGGACATGTTTATGTCTAATTTACAGCCTCTCTAGAGTTTCAGAGTCACATAACACACTGGTTTTAGTTAACTAAGCCTACAATCGTCAGAAAAAATAAGACAAATGACAGCTACTGCTGAATTTCAATACAGAGCACCTGAAGTTGACTTTCATAACAAGCTAGGGAGCAAATTAAGCGTTAAATGAAACCATAGATTAGCTAATGCTTTCCTGTTCTGGTGCCTAGCTGTTAATAACAGCTAAATTACATCACTTCTATGACGCTTTGCTAGGTTTTCCTTTTGAAAAAAGCAGTCTTTACGAAGGCTTTACTATTTTCAAACAACTCTTGTACTGTTCTGTTTGTGTTGGGGGCTACTAGCTAAGTTAGCTAGCCCGGTTTGTTATGTTAATAACAGCTAAATTATATAATTTCCATGACGCTTTGCTAGGTTTTTTTTTTTTAAAAAGCAGTCTTTAAGAGGCGTTACTCTTTTCAAACAACTCTTGTACTGTTTTGTTTGTGTTAGAGGCTACTAGCTAAGTTAGCTAGCCCGGTTTGTTATGTTAATAACAGCTAAATTATATAATTTCCATGTCGCTTTGCTAGGTTTTTCTTTTGAATAAAGCAGTCTTTAAGAGGCTTTACTATTTTCAAACAACTCTCACTTGTACTGTTCTGTTTGTGTTGGGGGCTACTAGCTAAGTTAGCTAGCCCGGTTTGTTATGCTAGCCCAAGTGGAAGCCGGGTGCTTTTGATAGCCACGGCTAACCTAGCCTGGGTAACTATTACCGTTCCTCACCGGCTGTTGGGAGGAGAAAGGAAACCGGTGGTGAATTCCGGCTCTTCGCAGCACCAACGGTCCAAACGGCTGAGCAACTGCCGGCACCGGTGGCAGATGGATGTCGGTCCCCTGAGCCCGGAGGGTTGTTTTTCCCGGTGTTCCGGCGGCTCTGGCTCTGCCTCAGCGGGGTTTATGTAGAGAGATGGCCCGGGGACATGCCGGCTAGCTCTGGCAACTTCTCCGTACTCTTATAGGACGGCGGGCGGAGGGCTGGAGGGGCTCCGTAAATATCAGTTTCGCTTCGGATCGAAGCTGCGTTCGAGGACCGTAGAAAATGTCGGATTGTAGATTAACGGCGCCCTCTGGTGGTTTTTCCCAACGAGTGAGACACAAAATACTCCTGAGTCACTCCACTCAGATGCAAACGTGTACATTTCGTACAGAAGGCAATTAAAACCACTAAAGTCAGTTTAGAAGATTAAAACATCAATAATAATAATTCATTGATTTGTTTTGTCAAACGGTTAAAAAAAAGTTTTTGCAGACGTTTATTTCTGCAGCTGGTTTCATAGAAGTTGAAGTCTGGATTGTACCACCTTTTCTACAGCTGTGAACGCATCATCTGACGGAGCGCAGCAGTTGGTCAGTTTCTATTTTAAAGTACAGAAAGTGAACGGTGCGTTTAGAGGAAAAGTAAAGTCATTCCCTTAAATCTGAGTCACGTTTAATGACTTTACAATAAACCTTTTTAGTCGTTTATGTTGGCACGAAAAGGGAAGAAATTGTGACTGTAATTTAATCAGACGGAACCAAAAAAAGGGGCATTTTGGCACAATATTGCATTTTTTAAAGAAAGATTTCATATCACCACCTTCGTGCATCTTCACCACTTTGTGTAGTTGTTGAACATAATATTAAACATTTCTAGTCTCGAACAATCTCACTTCAGAGCTCATGCGGGTGGACATCCTTTTTATTTTGAGGTGTTATTGTTTCAATCAGCAGTAGAAAACAGACTACACTCTTTTTTTTTGGCATCTAACTTCAAACTTGGAAAAAGTTTTTCATGCATAAACGTTAACGCAAGTCTATGTTCTTAATATAACATTTACAGCTGGGTGTCTGTTGCTTCAGTTTTTTATTGAACGCAAATGGTAGGTAATTTAAACAAAATTACCTTATAAAATCAGAAAAAAACAGCAGCAAAAATACAAATCATGTGCAAAAAAACAACTATTTTACGGCCCAAAACTCCCTTCATTTAAGCCTGACATGTGGCTGCCTTCATCAAAACACTACTTCCACCATCTTTCCGCCTTTTAAGAGGTACAGGAGGGTACAAAAGTGAACCCCAATCAATGAGTATGTATGTTTCCCAGGCATGGTAAATGTAATGAGCCTTCGGCAGATATAAAAACAGAAATTAAGGCTCGACGGTAACCGTGCAGCTGGCTTTTATGTCTCTGAAGGAGGAAGAGTCAAAGTCCACCAGGAGGCTCCTCTCCCCGCTCTTGTAGGGAACAAAGGAGAACCTAATTATAAACCTCGAGCTTGCTGGCAGATTTTGGAGCCTGAGAAAGACACACAAGGAAATAAGAATCAGTGATAAAGTTTAGTAGTTCACTTTTCTCCTTGGGGAAAAAACTTAAACAACACAGAACAACCAAAATGGAGGGATGTGAAACTTACTTGATAATCTCTTCGTCTGTGAGGAGGCCACTTCCAGACAGGGTCAGGGAGCAATCCTGAAGCGTCTCATTGACCGGATTCATGAAAACCACCTCGGCCATCACCTCACTGTGCAATCTGACAGAGCCTAAAACCTGGAAAACACACATTTACAAAAAAAAATCAGCTCAGAAAACACACTTTTTTGTTCCAAAATGCAGAGAAGCCAGAAAACAGACCTTCTGTGTCACCACAAAAAGTGGCCTCGGTTCTTTTCTTTTTTTCTTTTGTTAGAAAAACACGAGGAAGTGGGACATGGTAGCACTCAGATCAGTGTGCCAAACCGAGCAGAGAAGCAGCCTGCTGGGTGGCCTCAGGATTTTATCCCAGTATTTTTTTTTTCTTTAAATGAAGAAAGAGTGATAGAAGGTAATCTGAAGGTATGACGTCAACCTAATCTTAAAACCCGCTAAGAAATTTGATATGTAGATCATTAGTGTAGGAATCAAAACATATATATGTTTTATTTATCATTATTTTTTATTTAGTTGGGGTCATACAATTGTTTATTCTTGCGAAATTGAATTTATTTCAAGTTATTAGATGTCATTCGTATATTACCTTCGGGAATTTGTATCTTTAGTTATTGTGTTTTTTAATTTTTTAAAATTATTTCACACATTTTTTTAGGTTTAAGGCTCTAATAGGCATCACTTTTCCTGGTTTTTCTCCTCCGTCGTCCTCACTGTGTCTGTACATTTTGCACCTTTTTCTATCTACCTGCTTATAGTTTTTAAATGCATTAAGCTCTCCATGGATCTCCATGAGGGACTCATTTGGACAAACGGTTTTTAAATTTCTGAGTCAGGACCTCAGAAACCCCTCCCCTGGTGGGGTACACCTGTCAGGTGACCTTTAACCTCGTCTGGTTGGCTGAGCAGTGGAGGCCGAACGGCCCAGATTAAACGTTTCTTGCTAACCTTTACTGAGATCGGCGGGTTCTTCAGCACGACCACGTCGTCGGCCAGGTATACGCTGTCCGGGTTCTGCTGGTCCGTTACCACAGCGAACACGTTCATGCTCCCGCCCCGCACCATGTGGTCCTGGTAAGCCGAGTACAGGACGGTGATGGGGATGGAAACGTCTGGATTGCAAACAAAAGAAAAGACTTAAACATCTGGACGTGTTTCGGCTATCAGAAACCAAACAAAATGTCCCCCCCAGAGGAACCTTTTCCGGGATGGAGAGTTTCCTCCACCCGCTCCGACTGGATGTTCCCGGCCGGGGATCCGTTGTAGGTCATGGCCTGGACGCTGATTTGGATGGACAGCAGCCTGGGATGGATGTTGTCCCCGCTCACCACCAACTTTAGCCTCACGTCCTCGCCGTTCACGGGCTTGGACACCTACAAAAAGGCCCAGTTTGCAGCTTTAGTTTGGCCTGTACGTCAGGACTAATCGATATTAGACAGAGACGACAGTTTGTCCTCCTAAAAATGTAATCTAACGTCTTTTATAAGAGCTGTTGACTGAAAAAAAACACCTTTAATCCCTAGATGGGATCTGCCATCTGCCTCGGCCCAACCGGCCGAGCCATGGTTCTGCTCGAGGTATCTGCCTGTTAAAATGAAGTTTTTCCTTGCCTGTGTCGCCTAGTGCTTGCTCATGGTGGGAATTGTTGGGTTTCTGTAGTTAACTTCAGAGTAGGGTCTGACCTGCTCTGTATGGAAAGCGCTTATTTTTCACTTTGCTTCCACTCCTTGCGAGTGCGTTTTTGGTTCCATTAAAACCTTTTGCCGAGATCTCTGCATCTGAGTCCTGCCTGGAGCTACCATTCCTGACACTAGATGTTAAACCTGGTGATCATTTAGCACATAAATGTCTCCCAACCAATGAGGAAATCTAAGCAAGAACCTGTTGTTTTGATTGCTGTGTATCTGGATATACCCACCTCTTCAAACAGCAGCACCAGCTGCGGTTTCTTTGCGACTGGCTCGCTCTCCAGCTTCTCCAGAGCATATTTGAACACAGCCCGCTCGTTTTCTGTCCCTGTAACGAGGACGAGGTGGCCAATTTATGTGACATTGAGATTAAAATCAGTCTTTGGTGCATGTCTGGCCACAAAAATGCAGAGCGGGTAGAATTGTTAAGGAGGTTTCTGAAATCATTTTCATCTCTTTGAGGTAAAAACTTTGTTCAAAACTCCATTGCACACAGTCTGTTAGCTTAATTTACCTTATAGCGGAGACCACACAACAATACATTTTACTTATAAGATGGTAATAAATGGTAAATATACTAAATCATTATATACGGTAAGATAAAAAGAATTAAATGATTCAGACTTAGAAAACTTGGAATATTTCTGTATTTTTTTTCTCAGATCAGGCTTTAAGGGGTTAAGAGGGAACATCTTACTGAGGGAATGTCTGATTCTCTCGGTTGTGGAGGTAATGACTCACCCTCCGTGTGCTTGTAGGCCGCCGTGACGTTCAGCCTCTTGTTGGAGCCCACAGACTTGGTCGAGATGTTCTGGCCGATTAACGAGGCGTCCGAATACATTTTCACCTTTGAGCCGTCACCTTTGACCTGGTGGGGAACAAAACTCAACGGTCAAACTTTCTCAATGGAGACATATTATACCCTATTTCAACAAGTTAAACTAGTTCCCTGGTGTCCTAATGTAATGTCTGTGACAAGCTTTGGTCAAAACCCCATAAGGATGAAGCCCAATAGCAGTTCAGTCCCCCTGCCTAACCCTAACCCTAACCCTAACCCTAACCCTAACCCTAACCCTAACCCAAAACAGCCCCGTTCAGAGCGCTCGCTTTGGAGCGCCTGTCTCTTTAAATGCAAATGAGACACAGGCAATCCACCCACTTCTTCCGGGAGGTGTGCCCACGTCAGCACGCTAACGCTACCATGCTAACGCTACCATGCTAACGCTACCATGCTAACGCTCACACTACCACTACTGAGGGGGGGGGCAACATGCAGGTGAAAGGCTGGAATATTATAATGAGCTAGAGCTAATGACGTCAGAAACTACCCACTCCTGAAACCTCCTGATTTATCTCCTGGATTCAGACTGAGGCAGCCCACAAAAACATGACTGAGTCATTTTTTTTTCACACTTTGCCTGCTGATAGGCCCTCCACAGTCCCAAATGTACATGATCAAATGATTAAAAACTTGGTTTTGCATGATATGTCCCCTTTAAGGCCTCCGTTCGCTGACCTTCCAGAAAATCTGGTCGGCGTTGACCGCGGCGAAGACGAAGGGGACGTCGTACTCCAGATGGGTGTCCCCGTTCAGGACGGCGGCCACGGGAGCCGGACCGCAGCAGTACACCCCTAAAGGAGAAAGGACACCAAACAGAGGATTCAGACAGTCCTTAAACACACCCCAAAGCCTTTCTACCTTCAAAGAGGCCCAATGAAACACCATGGTTTACCACTTATTCCCTAATGGGGTCGCCTTATCCCAGTGGTCAATGGGGAGAGGCAGGGTCACTCTGGACCGTCCCCAGTCCATCACAGGGACACAGAGACACACAAGGACCAACAACCACACACACTCACACTGAGGGCAGTTTGGAGTCCAATCAACCTAACATGCAGGTTTTTGGACGGTGGGAGGAAGCCGGAGAACCCGGAGAGAACCCACAGACAAAGGAGAACATGCAGACTCCACCCAGAAAGGTCCCGGTTCCCCCGGGGATTCCAACCCAGAACCTTCTTGCTTTGAGGCGATGGTGCTAACCACCAGACCACCCCAATGAAACACATCAAGTAGAACTTCTGGGTTGAGTATTTATTTTATTTCTGGATCAAATCTAAACAGAAGGAGGTCAGTGTGAAGAACCAGAGCTGGAGATCAGCTCATACGAAAAGGGGTCTCAGTACAGAATAACAGGGAAAAGAGAGGGAAAAGAGGTACCGTCACTGGTCTCCTGCGGGGTCGGGTCCAGAACCTGCCAGCCGTCGTATTTTCCGTCTGCCCCCAGGTCCGGTCGCTTCATCCACCCCTCCACCCACACGTGGAAGTTCCTGACAGCACAGAGAACGATCCAGATGGGGAACATTTCAAACTCCAAAATAACCAACTTTAACCGCCTTAGAAGAGGTTTAGAACCAAACCCGCTATTCAATTCTATTGTGTAACTACACTGAAATTACCACCATAATTTACCACTTTAAAGTCACTTGTGTGTTCAACATTTAAGAACCTAACTGAGTGATTCGCAGCCATAAGTCACCTCAGTTTTTGGGAGTGACCACCAAAGGGCCAAAGTCAAAGAAAAGTCTTGATTTAAAACAAAAAGGAGATGAAACAACATGTTTTGTTGCCAATTTCTGAATGATTCAGTTTATCACTCAATATCAGTTTTCTAATGATTGCTAAAATCTATGAGATTTCCACCAAATCACAGATAAATACGATAAATACATCATGATTGACGAAAGCTACTTCCCCCAAATTCACTGATAGAAGAAAACTGAGCATTTAAAAGCTTTAAAACTGCTCATGTGAGTCTTTAGGAAGAAAACCAGCATAACAATGCATCTTATCCGGTCTCACCAGATGCTGTCTCTGGACTCCAGCTCTCTGAATCCCTCCTCGGAGAAGTAGGAGTCGATGGACAGGTTCCCGTTGGTGTCGTGGGCCGACTTGAAGTTGGTGATAACCCGGCTGGGGATCCCCAGCAGACGGAGGACTGCAACCGAAACAAGCCAGAGTTTCCATTAATCCATCACTATTCTCTTTTCCCTTCACTTTTTTGAGCGAAAAACGCCCAAATGAATCAGACAGTGTGCTATATCTAGATTTGAAGAGTTCTGGTGCTTTAACGATGCCTTTTTTTTACGTTAAAGGAAAGCTTTTTGGCTCTTAACCTTAAAAAAAGCTTTTCTCAAGTTTTCTCAGTGTGGTTGACACAAATCCCACATGACTTATTTGGGTCACTTCCACCCAACTACAGTCATTTGTCCCAGGATGTTAAAGGGTTAACGACTGTCCTGATTCTTTATCCCCTTGTTTTGTCGGATCAAATGTCTGAATCAGGGCCTGGACCAGGTGTCTGATCCTGGATGGTGAGTGTAGGGGGCCCACTCACCTGAGCACAGGACCCCGGCGAACACCCAGCACTGGCCGTATTTGACCGGCTGGCAGCCGGAGTCGTACCAGCGCCTGAGGATGGCGTGGCTGCCGTTCCAGTGAGTCGGCATGAAGCCGCCCAGAAAGTTCCTCCCCCAGCGCCCCTCAACAACCCCGAAGTCATCCATGTGGTTCACCTGGAGGGGCGAACAAAAGCAGGATCTCAGAGGCCTGAAACGGAGCACGCTTACTGGTTTTGACCCGGTGAGATATATAATACAGATATATATATATACAGTGGGGGAAATAAGTATTTGACCCCTTGCTGATTTTGCAGGTTTGACAACTTAGAAAGAAGGCTTATTTTTCCTCATCAGATGGTTGTCAATTTTTATAAATTCATATGATGTGATTTTTCTCGAATTTTCTTTGGGATTCTGTCTTTCACTGTTGGAATGTACATATGATTAAAGTTATAGATCGTTGCATTTTTTGTAAGTGGGCAAACCTGCAAAATCAGCAAGGGGTCAAATACGTGTTTCCCCCACTGTATAGAGATACACAATAATGTTAGCCTGATTCTTTAGTTGGAAGCCTGAGAATAAACCAGAGTAATTCAAGAGTACAAATATGACATTTATTGGGTCACAGGTAACGTAAACCAGCGCTGGGCTCAGACCCACAAAGCTCCCTGAGGGTACGAAGAAAAACTACCTGTACCATGACAAAGTCTAGTTATTAAACTTACTACTAATCCCATATATCGTGAAAAAGGCACAAAAAATGCACCCCCAGAATATGGCTCTCAGGAGGTTAAATGAGTTAAATTAAACTTATGTAGAAGTATGATTGTACTTTGATCTCTTGGATTCTAAATGGCTGCTATTGATCTGTGTCTTTGAAGTGTCTAAAGATGCCTTTTTTTGTAAAATATCACTATATGAATAAGATTTAACCCTGTAATGCCAGATGTATCATATTTGATACATACAGTTTCTGAAATGTTTTGCGTCTGACACCTTTTGCATAATTTAATGGCAAAAACTTTGCTCAAATTCCTATTGTACACAATCAGATACACCTGATAACAGGGGGCAGAAGACTACACAAAAAATAATCTTGACTTATCGCATAGTAGTAAATTATTAATATCAAAAATGCATTTCTGTTTTTTCTTTTCACATATTTTGTTAAAAGACCAAATAAGGAATTCAAACAAAAAAAAAGTAATTTTCTGTTTTATTTTATTCTTGGATCAGGCTTTAAAGGGTTGATTTAGAATATATTTGGATGAATGAATACAAAGTGTATATGTAAAGGAATGTACTTTATAAATAATATCACACCAAAAGGCCTGTTTTTAACAGCCTATTGAGGACAGTTCTGATGGGTTTCGGGTTATGTTGACCGTTTGGTTATTCTGAAGCATCCTACAGTAATAAAATATCCTTCCAGCTTCTCAGAGGTCTGTGTGTAACCCACCATGGCGGCGAGCACCCGGCCCACGTAGGCGGGGTCCCGGCGGGCCGCAGCGTCTCCAGCCGGGTCGCGCAGGTGCTGGTTGCTGACATCCAGGATCTTCAGACAGATCTTCACCATGTCCTCCTCGAACTGGACAGAGAAGAGGAGAACAGGGAGGCCACCGTTAGGGAAACGTCAGGAGCCGCTCCAGCATTTAGATTTCACAGGTGACGCTTTCTGTCTTTTCTACGACATTCAATCAGGACCCGGAACAATGGATTTCAACAAAAGATTCAACAGTAAGTTATTGTCCAGTTCAACAGCCACTGAATCAGTCGTGCTAAAAGGATAATTTGATTAATTATTAGAATTAGGATTAAGACTGAAAAAGTAGAAACTGAAACTGAGCAAAAAAATCTTTAAGTTTCAAGATCTTTAAGACATTATATTAAATTGTATTATATTATACTATATTATATTATATTATATTATATTATATTATATTATATTATATTA